TCAATTCCAAACCGTGAAGAAGGCAACGGGAAACTACTCGACTATCTTTCCCAATAAAGCATGGCAATTCACAGATAATAAATAAAAGGAACCTGTGGAGGGCCATGATCGCCTACTTTCGGAAGGGAGATGGCATTTTACAAAAAGACATTGCAGTAAAATAATATTAGCTTGATTTTTTGAACATCAGAGAATATTCATGTATATTAAAAGGAAGCTGTGGAGAGCCATAATCACCCACGCCCTGAAGGAAGATGACATTTAAAGAAGACATCGGCGTTAAACAATACTAGCTTCATCTTATGAATATCATTCTGAGAATAATTCCTGCATATTAAAGAAGGAAGATGTGGAGAGCCATGATTGCGTATGTCTTATACGGTCATGCATTAAAATAAATGCATATTTATATTTAGAAACCAATGCTTGGTACAGAACAAGACTATGAGTTTGGAGTCTCCAATTAGTCAATTTATTAAACTTTGTGTTAGTCTTTGATATTTACACACACACTGGTTCCGTCTGGCTCATGGTCACACATTTCGGGCGCGCAGAAAGCAAAAGGGATTGTTTACAAAACTAGCTTTTAATTATTGTTCTATGGCAATATGATGGCATTTAGCCCAAAGATCCAGGAAATTGTGGAGAGCCATAATCGCCCACGTTCGGACAGGATACGGTATATAGAATAACAATAAGGGTCGAACTCACCACGGAAGTAATGGTCTACAATGGTAGGTTGTTAATGAATGCTCCACGGCGAAGCGATTTTATTATTGTTTATATTATTCGTTTGTATAACTAACAGAATTGATCTTGTTTTGACAAATAATAACGAGAAAACAAAGGTACAAACATTTCCTTGATTTGTAAGCTTCTATTTCTTCTTCGTTTTAATGAAGTGCGAAGTGAAATTTTGATATATCAGGTGCCTTACCAGGGGGTACTGAAAAAGTTCTCCGTCTGACCTATATTTCCCAGAAATCTGATCTGACCAAACGTCAGAATTTGTTCCGCCACCCCACCCCCACCCGACGTTTTTTTGTTTTGTTTTTTTGTTTTTTTTTAATCATTACATGGTCAGGCTGAAAACTTTTCATCACCTCCTACGATGTTCACGTGTAAATACTTTTCATATTTGCTTTTGTCTCTTGTATTTTTTTTTTGTTGTTGTTGTTGTTTTTTTGTATTTTTTTTGTAGTTGTTGGTATAAGTTATCAGTTTTTTGAGGAAAGAAATTTCTTCCCTATTTATTTTATATATATATATATATATATATATATATATATATATATATATATATATATATATATATATATATTCACTTTAGTCCATTTTTCTGTCTTTCTTTTCGTTTAATTTTTTAATATCTTCTTTCTTTTATTTCTTTTTATTTCATTTATTTTTGTAAATCCATCTTATCCTGATTGGTCGGGGGGCATAACATGTGTTCTAGGAATATCCGAGCTGTCGTCTTCGAGGTCGGAACTGCCTTCCATTTCTTCGGCCTGTTCCTGCTTCTTCTTCGCGGTCGCCATTTCAGCTGCGTGGCGTTTTCGCCATTTTGTTCGACGGTTCTGGAACCAAACCTGTAATAAATGAAATAAAATTAAATTTTGTATATATATATATATATATATATATATGTGTGTGTGTGTGTGTGTGTGTATAGGGAACGAAAACTTTTTAAAAATGTTAACTGAAAAGAAAATTAAAACATTTAAATGGCGCAGCCAATCATATCAAACTCTTTCAGAAAAAAAAAAAAAAAAAAAAATAAATAAATCTCCATAGACACTTAACCAGACTAGACGATGTCATCTTCCGCTTTAAATTTAGACACCCCAACCTTACCCTGACTTGACATCTTTGAATGTAACTGAGATATTGATACAAATTATTAACACCTTACGCCTTTTTTTTTTGTTTAAACAATTGCTCTAGCCGTTACCATAGAAATTTTAATTTCAATAATGAATATGCTTATAAAACGCGTAAATTTCAGAAATAAGTTATTCAAAAAAAATTTCGCTTGAAGATGGAACAGAGCTTGGTACTTTTAATTCAATTTAATTCAAATAATTATATTGAAGTTTTCGGCTCTTGTTTTGAAACATGAGAACTCTTATGTAGCGTGATGGAATCATATTTTTAAATAAATAATTATATTTATGCTCTACTTTTATATCGAGCACTATTTTTTTAAAAATAATAAAAAAATACTAAAGAACTTTGGATTATTTACCTAACGAGTTCTTTCCTATTTTCTATATATATTTTACACACACACACACACACACACACACACACACACACATATATATATATATATATATATATATATATATATATATATATACAATAAATTACCTCTGTAAATTTTTTTGATTCTTCTTTAATCAAAAATTTTTGTCCATCTTAAGGAAAAAATTATGGTTCAATATTTATTTTATGCATTAAAAATTTACAAACACAACACATTTTTTTTATTATTTGGATAAATAGATGAAATATAGAAATTTTAAATATGCGTAATTTGCGAATCTATTTTCAATGAAACGTTTCCATTTTTTCAAATTTTTAAATATAAATATACATATATATATATATATATATATATATATATATATATATATTTATAATTTAAAAAAAATCATTCATATTGAAAAAACAAATATAGAGGTTAATGATTTAAATGGCAGAAATACATCGTATCAAACAATATAAATAAGATACATCAATTATTGAACCTGTATATAAATGATATGATAAATTATATTTATAAATTCCAGTTGCATAAAGGTCTTTTAATTTTTACAAGCTTTCGTCTGTTCTACAGACATCATAAAATAAAAGTAGATTTTGTGAATTTTTTACATCTCAGTAAAGGACAACAACTTAATATATATATATATATATAATATATATATATATATATATATATATATATATATATATAAATATATATATATATATATATATATATATATATGTAATACGATGATTTTTTATTAGAACGTTCACATTCTGACCATGTGATTCGGGTTCAAATGTCACCATAGTGAAAATTTGACGGGAAGGAGAAATTATGTTATCGGACTGGAGGGTTTCGATATATTATAATTAAAATGTAAAAAATTTTGGAATTTATTTAAAATCATATAGGTTGATTCAAAAGTTTGTATATATTGGGTAGACGGAACCCGAATAAGCAAAGCGTACTGGCCTTGTTCAAATTTTCGCCATCACTAATCCCAAACGCTCTTTCCCAGAAACTGTAAAGCAGAGGTCTGCTTAAAAGAACAGAAGATTTGAACAAAAACAACGACTGGCAAGCGTCTATAAAGGATTGGCTAGCCGAAATTTTTTAAATCGAATACGAGTGGCCAGACATACATATATATTTGTTATATATGTGTGTGACGGTAAATTATTAATTTTTATTATTAAAATAACATTTCTTGTCTTCACTAGTTCTAACTTTCATGAAGGATTTTAAACAGAAAAATGCCATGCCACTGACGCATATATTAAGCAAACCACCAATCATTCGTGGTGAAAAAAAAATCATGTATCTTTCGAAATACATGACTGACGATTTTTTTTTTATAAAGCAATATTTGCCATATATTAATGTGATATTTATTAAAGATCCTATTTGAGGTACAGTCTAACCCGGATATTTTAAGTTGTCGGGACCGGAGAACAATTTTCTTATATCCGGGTTTCTTTATATATTTTTATATATTATATATATATATTAATGACAGGCTCTAATTTGGGACCAGAGAAATCTCATTTATATAATCTCTTATATCCGGGTTACACTCTACAAGTTATAATCAATGATATAAAAAAAAACATAATCTTCATAAGAGTTGTTTCGACCTCATCTTCAGAATGGCGGCTCATTTTCGGAGAAAATCTATGAGAAATTTCAGAAAATTAAATTAAAAAATTATCATTTTATTTGAAAAATTTTCTTTTTTTTTTTTTTTTGTCAAAGTATTTTACAAACAAATCAGCCTATTCAAATTTCATCGATTAGTTTGCAAAATTGAACGAAAACGTTGTTTAATTTGTGTCATGATTGATATATATTTTTATATCATGTTTTTTGATACATGATTGACGAGGTAGATTTTTCCCTATGAAGGTTGCCATTTCTTTCTAAGGTAGACCAGTTATATCCAAGGTCTGTATATATTTACCCATAGCTGGGGCGATTTATATACAAATTCAATAAGCTTTCTTCCAAAAAATATAAAAAGAAAAAAAAAATTTGAAAACCGAAGTATTTCCGGTCCCATTTTTTAGATTTTAATTTTCTCAACACAATATATTGGGTTTGCCAAAAACAGTTCGTTCGCTTATTTTTTTTTTTATATTAGAAACATAACTTTTTGCCCAACCCAATATATGGGACTGAAAGGACGAAACACTTTGTGAAAATCTAATTTAGTATACTAACAGACGATCGAAAGCGAGACAAACTTTTTTATAACGATCGCACTGTCATTGTTCCTTTTCTGTATAACGAATCATATTGATCTCTAGAATTCATCTATTATTTGGGGCATCAATTTTTTCCCAGTTCTCGGAAAAAAAAAATGAATTTTGATAAATTTAATATAAATTCTGTGTTTTTTTACTATTGTGAATAAAATATTCCAGCCTCTATCAAATATTGAAATTATATACCACTTCTGTTTTACCCTCTAATTACAACAATTTTGCAGGTCTGACGTCTCCCCGCTTTAAATAAATCCTCTTCAATGAATTTTGTTTTGGAATTCAGTCGGACCAATTGCGACCATTACAGCCTGCACGGCGATGGTGCGTTAAAAGCGAGAAATTTAGATATACGCTAATTGCAAGAACTGCTCTGGCCAATTGGTACTGAAGAAAATGTATTCAGCCAGAAAACCCTGTCGAATTGATATGGGGATTTGTTGTCATGTTAGGGCCACTTTCGATTCAATTGATTAGATTCTCTATAA